TTTTTGAATAATTAAATAATTATAGAACAATTTTCCTATTAAAGTTTTATAAATATTCTTCACCTTAATTAATTTCTTAATTTTTATTCGATTTCTATGATTTGGTTTTACTTGTAAACAATCAATCAATTCAAGACTTCACAGGAAAAAAAATTGTAGCACATATTCAAATTTAATTTAATTTATTGATTACCAGAAGGTTTCATTGGAAGGAGAGATTTGAGCTTTAGTGGAAAAAATTGAAAAATTGTTACACAAATTCCACACATTAAGCCTAGGTTACTAAGCAGTTTCTAATGAGACCACCTATTGAAAATCACTATTTAATTATAATTTGGAAGTAGTACTACCTTCAGTAGGCATAATTCTTGAAAGCTTCAACTTAAAATAACTTAAAATATTTTCATTTGCAATATAAATTCATAAAATTAAAAAAAAAGTTTATCTTAATAATTGAACGATCAAGTATCTTATAGATATGTTGCAAACCAAAAGTAGTCCTTTAACAAACGTTCACATATTTATATACCTACAGTATAAAATATGTACATTCATACAAAATAGCGAACTGCATATGTCTATCTTCAAGTTCTCTTCGCCTTCCATGTAAAAGAAACACTGCTCTACAGTTGCAAGGGCGTATGTCCAGTCTACTTGTCTTCGGTACTGAAACAACCACCGGTATCGTAAACAGGTGATAATTTGTGTACCTACCACCGTGTTCGATGACATTAAGTGTGGGCAAGCAAAGTGTTGATGACATTATTTATTAACTTTGCCAGCAAATAAAACAATCACTTAATTATATTTTAATTTATTTATAATGTGATCGTCTGACATAATAAATATTCAACTCGTTTAAATGAAATTCTAAGATCACCAACTGAACAAACTGGTATCCACTAATTAAAGAAAATTTATTTAAAATGAACAAATTAATTCACTAACTTTTAATTAATTGAATTGCTAATAAAGTTTCAGTTTAACGTTAACATATCCTATGTGATTATATAGTATATGTATTATAATATTATTTTTAATTATTTATAATATAATGCAAGTAATGAAGGCTATCCTTGACTATTATGAAGTCTATTACAAATCTATCAACAGAAGTGGGGTCTGAAGATCAAATTTTTGTGACACTGCGTATATTGAGGCACTATTATATCCTGTCCCATCTATAAACAATGAGGGATTTTTTCACATCAGCTGTATCCAGAAAAGTTTTGATCTTTTTCATGTCAATGTTTGACCACTCTGAATAGTGGATCAAGTCTTTGTAGAAAATTTTTCTTCTATACTGTAAAGAAGTAGGGCATTCTGCAAGGATATATAAGTATATTCCATTGTCTTTAATAAATAGTCTGATTTCGTCGATTGTCGAAAAGTTATGTTAAATTCTTATTGTGGTTACAACTCGCAGTTAAGTCGTTAAGTCTCGCAGGGAGGCAGTTAAGTCTTAATGAGGCAGTATATATTTTTTCATGAAAGGTCTTATAACTGACCAAAAATAACAAGAACGGATGTTTTTTCTCAGTCATGGAAAACCATTGAAATTGAAAATCCTACACGGTGCAGTGAATTGTAAATTACTTATTGAAAATTCAATTCGATATATTGTTACCTTTTCATATAAATTTACACTTATGTTACCAATAAAGCACATAATATTTACTTTAAGGTCATTGCTGATTAATTAATATAAAACCAATTATTTAACATAGCCCCCAAAGAAAAAAATCCAGTTAAACGTCACAACGTCTTGACCTAACATTGGCATTTCTATAGAATTTACGATTACAGAACTTTTCTATTAAGAAATTAATTGTACTACTGATGTATGACATGTCGTTTTATTTTGTTCAAATAATATACCGATAATTTATCCGATATCTGAGCTACATGACCCTTACAGTGATAAAAGTGGGAATCATTTGTCGTATTAATACCACGTAGCTATATTCACATCATCTGGATAGTTCAAAATACTCACAATACCTCGAATCTAACCTAAACCTAACTCAATAAATTTAATAAAACTAAAATCTTGTTTCTCTAGTGACCTTTGCTCACAGTTAGTGCAATATCAAAACTATTTTTAAATAAAATACAGTTCAGTAAAACTTTAAGAATGATACCCACCCATCGATCTGTACCTTCCTGCACTTGAGCGGTATTATCTCCTCCCAGCTACATAAACCTCACAGTGATTACTGTCGCACCAATACTATGCAACTAGATTAACATAATCTATATTTATATATAATATATAATATATATATATATTACATATCTATATATATATATATATATATTCTACACATATCTCTTCTTCACTTCATATTAAGGTTAATTGGTTCCTTTTATTATCTGCTATTTTCTTGACCCTGACTGAAAAGTTCATACCTAATAACTATTCTGTGATTATCAAAATTAGTAGTTTGATATTTTTAATAGCCTAATAACTCTAACTTTTGCTCTTGATAACTGGAATTTTGATCTTTATGGTATAATCGCTGGAATCTGCATTATTCATTACTAGAAGTTGGTTTTATTGGATTCTACTATTGTGATTTTTGGTGCTTTCAACTCATCAGAAAAAAAAAACATTAATAATGGGTATGAAGTATTACGTTAAAAACATCTTGGGTTACTTCAGTTATTAAGAATAATAAGAGTTATATATTTTCAATTTTTTTCTTTTATATCAGAAATATCATGACTTGTCATATATATCATCCAAATTGACAAGGCTTTGGGAACTGTAATAATATTTTCATATTCAAAGAAACAACGATTCAATACTAACTCCATAACATAAACCGCTACGAAAAGTTAGTTTTTAAAGATCTAAATGGGTTTCATGATGTAGGTTAGTTATCTTCTGATGAAGAACGTGACCGTGACCGTGAACGTGATGAATAACGTGATCGTTATTTGCAAGACGTAACCCGATTAATTATTCATTATTTTTTTAAATAAATTTTAACTGTTTCTACATATAGTATGTACTGTATAACTATATATCTCTCAATAATGATGTACCAGACTGCACTAAATACAAATATCTATTTTAGTGAGAATCCGAAAAATTAATTTCTGTAATGGTGTCTATAAACTAAATTCTTTAATATAAACACCCTGTATTTATTTTGAAACTCATTACTTTATAATTTTAATATAATTAAGAGGAAAGAGAGATTGCGAACCAAAGAGTTGAGTATTATTCATAAAGAGTTTAACTATAGTGTCAGTCAGTCGGGTACTCTAATTTTTTTTTTTTAAAGATATATATTTATTCACTTAAACATAACATGAGATATGCGGAAATGACTTTCGCTCCAAGTAGCATTTGTTTTGAATAAAGTGGATCGAGCAGATTCAGTCTCAACATTCTTATCAATTGCTTTTGAGAAAATGAAAACATTACAGGCCTACGCTAAACTCAACTATCAATTAATATTTTAATTTCTACGATTAAGAAATTGTCATAAGTTTCTTATCTCTTCCAAATGTTTTGTGATGAACACATAATAAAATTGTTTTGATTTAGTCTGAATTTGTCATCGTTTGAACTCGGTTTATTGCTTCTACGCTCCGGACGAAAAGTTAAGCCATTTTATTAAAGTATCTATTAGTGAATAGAATCGCAGCAAATTACATCATACACGGATTCTAAACAATTATTAATAAACAAAAATGAAGATATTTTCTTTACTGTTAATAGCATTTATCACATGGCTGGATTGCAGTCAGGCCCACATTGCTAATATGGTTTGCTTCTATGACGCAACAAATACACAGAAAGGTAAGACCGAATGCAGAACGTAAGAATTTCAAATAAATATTTTGAAATGCAATTAATTAATAGTAAAATGATTTACTTTATTATATGAGAAAGAAATGACCCGTGTTGTTCTACTGAACTTAGGTAAAACCAGCCTAATACTTCTCTTTTTTATACAAAAGGTGTATTTATAAATGAAGAAATTAGCATTTTTATTGATATTGACCGGTAGGGTCTACAGGACCGTCTTTAAACCCACTAATGTGATCGTAAAAATTTATTATGAATTCGCAATTCAAATATAAGTGAGAACTATAATGTTTCAACATTAAATTAAGAACTATTGGTAACTAATCATCTATATTCTTCTTTCAGTATTTGAGTCAAAGATATATAAAACTTAATTAAATAAAAAGCAATAATAAATTAATTGAATAAATCTAAAATTTAATATACAATTATTATGTACTAAAACTGTCTTGTTAGTCGAGAAACAAATTGCAAGAATGAAAATAAAATCTATTGCACTATCAGCTCAAATACGAAGGTTATCATATTTCATTGATCTAATTCTGTGAATATTAATTCAAAACATAATATTTATTAAAAAAATACAAAACTTCTCTTCCATTACCTAGACATACAGGGTTGTATACATGGATGGGGATTTCTCAAAGCAATTTCAAATTTTATGTGAAAAGATATAATTGAAAAAAATTTCATGTATGATGTATTTCGACATATTTTATGAAATTGGAATTCCAAATCTCTCTCTCGTATACTTCACTGTAGATACCTCTTCATTGCTATTATTTTAGTTCTATAAATTTGCCCATTGCATAAAATTTAGGACTTTCGATTTTGAACTTTAGATTAATAAACAATTACAATTACACGGATTACAATATTTGGATTTAAGAACAACTATGCAGTTCATGTGAAGTTGAATTTAGGTCCTGTATATTAAGTAAATACTTTACCTATGTACCATAAACTATATATACCACTCTACGCAAGTATATATAGTTTTAATACTTTTGTTTCCACATATATTTTTTTAAATGTTGATTTTTACATTTTATGATATGTCAGAGAAGAGAGATAACTGTTTGATCAACTTATTGAAATATAGGTGCTACATATTGTCGACTATTTCATTCGTACCGACTTACAGTTTTATCATACCGGATTCATCTAATCTAATCATACAAACAACTCAAACACCCAGAGTATTATTTCTCTGCTAAAACAGTTAAGGATGTAGCATTCTTAGTTGTCAAATCAATACTATATCTTAATTACGTGTCATAGCAGCACAGTAAAGATACTAAGATTTAATTTAATTAGGTTACATTATGTTGATTCTATTGTTTAAATTGTCATCGTAATTCACCTATAGACTTTTATAATGTAAATGCAAAATTTAGATCAAATGGTATTGTTTGTAATGTCAAGAATCCAACTTATCAAAAATGTATACATACTATTTTGTATGTTATTGTTATTGTGAACCAAAGTGTGGAAAAAAATCGAATACAATCTATTAGAACTCATTGTCAACAACTCAAACTGTCTTATAATATCACAGAGAGTACTCTTCGTATAGGTTAGCATTACAAGGTGTATAATTAATTTAAGAATTTTAATTCTAATCATCGTTTGAAATCTACTTCCTGAATTTTAGGAGTTATTAAAAATTTAGCTTTTCCTTTTCAAAAAGGTCTAATTATATTTTAATCATTTTAATTGGGCCCCCTTCTGCGCTTAGAGTAGGTCTTTAAGCCCTGTTGCGTTAATAAAAAGTAGTATAGAACCTACTTTACAGGGTTTTATTGCCTCTTCCGTAAGAATATACAATCCTAGGAGCCTATTTCGTATGTGCATTAGAGCAGGGCATGTGTGGCCGACTCTTCATACTCTTCACAGTATCTACAGTTTGCATCCATAAATGTTCCCAGTTTTGTGAGGTGGTGTTTTAGTCTACAGTGCCCTGTTAGGATTCCTGTAATGATTCTAAGTTTTTCTTTTGATAGGTTCATACAATCCTGGTATCTCTTGTTGTTATAGGTACCAATAAGTGATTTGGATTGTTTTAATCCTGGTATACTATCCCAGTAGTCTTTTTTAAAATTAAAAAGCAAGAGCACTTTAAGTAGAATCTCAATTGTTTCTCTTGCCAAACTCTTGACTTACTTTCATGCTAATTTTATTTCAATATTATATTGAAGGTATTACTATTATAAGGTATTACTATTTGAACAGTTAGTTTGCACTATTCTTTAGCCCCACCGGATAAAAAAAAATCCCTTAGTTACTTTAAGTTAATTTAGTGAGGTTATGGTTTAAAATTTAAAATTTCTAATAAGTAATACTTAAAAGTATATTTCAATGCACAAGTCAAATATATCTCTATATACTTAATGCTGCAATTTGCTTTATCTTACGTTATTTCTAAGCTTATCGAAGTAAGTTTTACCAGTGAATATAAAACAAAACAAAAACATATTAAAATTAATTTATATAACACATACCCATTAATAAATATTTTAAATTCTATATACTTCATCAGATTCTATGGCACTATCAGATCTTGAACCAGCTTTACACTATTGTAATTATCTTGTTTATGGCTATGCTAAAATAGAACCAGCTAATCTTTTACAAGAACCATCGAAAGTGCTTGTGGATGCGAGTACAGGGCGTGATCATTATCGCACAATAACAAATCTAAAAAGTAAATATCCGAATATACGTATACTGCTATCTGTTGGAGGTGATAAAGATATCGATTTGAACTACTTGGAAACCAATAAGTATCTACAGATATTAGAAGACGGAAACAACCGTCAAGCATTTGTGGACAGCGCTGTACAGTTACTAAGAACATATGGGTTTGATGGTTTAGATTTATCATGGCAATTTCCTAAGAATCATCCTAGAAAAGTTGTAAGTGGTTTCAAGAAAGTTTGGTCTACAGTCAAAGGCTGGTTTACTAGTACAAAAAAGGTTGACGAGAAGGCAGAAGAACACAAGACACAATTTACGCAATTGACACATGCATTACGAAGTGCCTTTAATTTACATGGTTACCTGCTGACGTTGACTATGTTGCCAAATGTGGACCCAGAACGTAAGTTAATATAAAGTGATAATATAATAATGCAAAAAAATATTTTTAAAATAAGTGTATTTAATTTAATTTTGTTTTTCTCCTCAGTTTTTATAGATATTCCCAGCGTAATAGAGTATGTAAATTTCGTGAATTTGTGCACTTTTGATTTCCAAACACCTGAACGTGATCCTAAAATAGCTGATTATTCTGCACCACTCTATGAAATGTACGAACGCGATCCAACTCACAATATAGAATATAACGTACAATTTTGGCTTAATCGAACAACACAAGCCCATAAAATTAATGTAGGTATAAGCACATTTGGACGTGCTTGGATGATGTCTAAAGATTCTGGTATAACTGGTTACCCACCCATTGATGACACTAGCGGCGCAGCACCTTTGAAAAATTCTACTGCAAATCTGGGTTTACTAAGTTGGCCACAAATATGTACATTAATTCATGCTGATAAAGATTTAACTGGTGAAAAGGCACCATTGAAAAAAGTGGGTGATCCAACCAAACGTTTTGGTACGTATGCCTATCGCTCAGCAGATGATAATGGTAACTACGGTATATGGGTGAGTTATGAGGAACCTGCAACTGCAGCTATTAAAGCAGGTTATGTGCATGCTCGCGAATTAGGTGGTGTAGCACTATTCGATTTAACCAGAGATGATTATAGAGGCGAATGCGCTGGTGAAAGATATCCTATTTTAAGAAGTATCAAATATAAATTGTAAGAGTTATGATTAAAAAAATAAATATACTTTTTTTTCTCTAAAACTTTTAATATAAATGTGCATATAATTAATCACAATTACTAATCCCGATAAGACAAGCAACCACTTTATTTTAATTGAAAGTATCCTGCAGTCCACATAATGCGTGTCGGCTGCTACACGCCCTGATTTTTTTCACTTCCTTATTATCTTAACCCTTGTAATCTCTAAACAAAGTGCCTCATATTTTTCAGTCGTGTAAGTGCATTATTTTCAGTTAAAACGAAATCGTCTTGTAACTCATTTTGATTGACTAAGACATGAAAGCAACCAAGAACGTAAATAAATATTGATGCCAGATTTTTGTAGCATGAAAGACCTTTCATGTGCGACAACCCTAATTAGTCTTCATCACTGCAACACAGAAACTGAAGTCATTCTTCATTCATTCTTCATTCATCTTGGTATATGTAGTTCAGTGGAATACAATTCTTTTACCTTTTAACAGATGATTTTTATCGATAATTGAAAGGAGTAAGTTTGTTATGAATAAGGTTATAATAATTGAGGTAATGTAAATGACTCTAGAAAAAGACAGTTTTTTAAGAAGATACAAATAATTACTGCAGTATATGTCAATTCAATTTTCATTTTATTTTAAGCGAAAAGGTCAACTTTTCATGTCAAAGTCTCTATTAAATTTACTTTTGGTGTTGATAAGCTAGTGATGAATAATCTTACTCTGATTACTAGAAATGACGACTAATTTGTCAGCTGTCAAGTGAAGCAAATTTTAATGGAATAAATGACTCATATCCAGCATTTGAACTATTAAGTAGAGAATTTTTAATTATAATATGTACTGAGCAGAAAATATTGGGAATATTTTGACCACATATTCTAAAGATGAGAGTATACGTTTTAGAAGAGTCAGTCTATATAATTTGGAGAAGTATTTTCTAAAGCAAACGTTTAGATACTGAGTCTTTCTTAGGACTTTCGGGATTATAATTAATATGGCACTAGAAATAGGTCACCATTTTATAACTAATAATTGTTATGGTTATCAATATTTTATTATTCAGTTATATAAATATTATTATATATAATAATAAAATATTACTTATAAATAAATAAGTATATAATATTGCTTGATTCCTATTAATGCAAAAAGAATAACAATAGCAATAATAGCATTAGCAATAATTAATTTTTTGATTGAACTCTTCTTAGACTTCCTAAATCTGAGTTAATATTGGTAATACAATTCGATATTGGTTGTTGCGTTCGCCAAGGAATCACCTCTCATACTTAGGTCACTTTAGATGAGATGAGATATTTAAATGCAAGACATTTAAATATTTAAATTATTAGTTTAATTACTTGTTTTATTACTGCTCACAAGTCTGCTTTAGAAACTGCGTTATGATTTAACAATTGTAATATTGTTATAGCTAAAGAGGTTAATCTAAACCTTGTACATCTGCCATACTTTATATATAATATATAATACTATAATGACATATGTATAAAAATGTGATTAGTGTTAATTCAAACTTAAGACACACTCTAAAGAATTATTCAAAAATAAAAAAGTTTGACATTTTTTATAACAATTTACCATGTGGACGGAAAAGACCGAATAGAACTGCACACTTGATTGAAGAAATACCCTATCCATGTAGTATACTCCAAAAACATGTGGAACTCGCACCATAAATAACAAAAACATGTGGTATTCAAATACTGTTCTTAAAAACTGTCAAGATTGTCAAGATGTTATTGCCAAAAAAAATTATAATTATATATCTAAACTCTATATGTCAAAATTATGAGTTGTTATATACATTCATACCATTTTTCTAGAAGAGAAGAGAACATACTTATTTGTAGCGCCCTAAAATTAAGTTATCATCAAATTATAAATTTTGTGACCACCAACATAATTTTAAGGATAATTAATGCAAAGTCACTGCTTTACTGATGGTTTTTTTTATCATTATTTGACATATGGAAAGAGTCTTAATGATGAGTGTACGTGTGGCCTACATATTAAAATAAGACGAAATATATGTATTATATAAAAACAATGAAATTTGAACTCTTAAATCGGTTCAAGTATGCGCCAAGCAAAATCTACTACAAAATCTGGCAAAGTTATAAAAATAAAAAATCGCACGATCATCAATGTAAGAAGGATCACATTCCCTTAACTCATCAACATTAACGTTGAAATCAGTAACATTAAATGTAGCCTCTTTTGCTCTCTTAATTTGACACATCACAAGATCAAGTGTCACTGATGATCTTCGGGTGACTTGTGCGCATGAAGCGTCTTGTAACCTGCCACTACCTCGAAAGTGCTACAGAAAGGCTTGCTGTCACGTGTGGTAGGAGTACCAGTATGAGGAATACTAAAAGGTAGAGAAGTTAATGAAGAACAAAAAATGTTAATCCTTCTCAGTGGTAATGTAAACGCATTTCAGTATCAAACTTATTTGTGTTCCTTTAATAATTTAAAACCTAAAGTGCATTCGTGACTTTAATATTAAAATAAAAAAATTTAATTCTACTTTGCCAAACAAAATTATTGCTTTGCTTACGTTTCAGTGGCACTGATCGCATTTTAATTCGTATTTATACGTGAGTGGAGAGTGGCGTGGGCTCAAGGGGTTTAAGCAAAATGAAAATATATATAAGAATTTGTTTTTTATAATTGTTGATAAAAATATTTGAAAAGTTAAACAAAAAAGAATCAAATAAACCAAGTAAAATTTACAATCGAGAACGAAGTTATTCTCAGAGAATAATATTTTTTAGAAGTGACGAAAAGTAAAATAGAGGATATGAAAATATAGTACAAGGTGTGATCACAATATCACTATGAAGACGAGGCAAACGTAGAAAATTTCAATTCATTAAGTAGCTGCTTTGGAGGTCTTGAGTTAGAGATAAGAACGGGTATACATTTGGTAACGAAACTATTAGTTGTATCTCTGAAATTCATATAATAATATATGCATTCAAATTTATTAATAGTAATTATTAAATAAATGTGATAGTAGCGTAACTATCAAAAAAAAGCAATATGAACTCAAGCTGAAGATTGCATAAATAGACTGGCTTATCCAACGAATATCAAAATTCTTCGTATATAATTAAATTATAATTATTATATAATGAAAAAATTATTATAAGCAAATTCAAAATCTAATATATAGAAACCATCAAGGCTGATTCCATTTATTAATAGCCTTATGATAGATAAAAACAATATGCTCGGTATAAGCACAATATATCATTAGAGTCGTGCTGTATGGGAAACTATACATCATGCTTCTGGTGGTCTTTGATAGTTTTGTATTATTTCACAGATGGGTCGTCTGCTTAGTTTAGGGAACTTGAAATACGAAAATATATGTATGAAATATTTAAAATGTTGTGATAGACACTTTTGGTGATGCATAGTTTCCTCAATTAAATATTATTTAATAATAATTTTTCGGGCATGCTATTCTCAGAATATAATGAGCATTACCTTTCGGAAGACGTGTTAAAGATTTGTCACTATAGATTTTATATATTTATTAATAATAAAAGTTTTGTATGAGCAAATACAAAAAATTGCTTGTATGTGTCTTTTTTAAATAGGAGCACAGTACCTTCGGCTCCAAAATTTATGGGACGTCACTATGAATAAATACAATTTTTATTAATTTCGCTTATGATAACAATTACTTTGTTAAAAAGCTTTATAACAAGTAAATGCTTTGCCATTGAAATTAAGTCATCTCCTCCTAATGAATTTTGACATCGAACAAAACTGTCCTCAACAAACACTGTAGTAATTTCTTTGTTTCTTTAGTAGATCTCTTAAATGGAACGCATTCTTCTTAAACTGAACTTAGTAGTGATATTTCATTAGTTCTGTTTATTGCTTGCTGAATTTTCTCAATATGTAAACGTTCATTAGATTGTTATTCGCTCATATTAATCTTTTTATTTCTCATAATTACACTGCATGTCGTCAAATGAATGCTTTATAATGTGGCATATAGTTAATAACAAAATGTAAATATGTAATAACAATTTCTGTCTTTATTGTTATAAAATGCGAATAAGGTAACAAGTCTTATACTTAATAAAGAATAAGCTAAGTCTTCATTTTTGAGAAATGAAGAAGAATTGCATCAAAAACGGCTTTTAAAGGCCTCCAATTCTTTTATGGGTTGAATTGGGTCAGCAATAATAAAATAAATAGTCAAGGAGAAGGAGAATCATTTACGGCTGGTGTACTGAGAAGAATTTCCAGGACTTAGACAAAACAAAGCACTGATAAAATCGTAATCCTACAAAAAAATTCTTAAATTTTGAAAAAGTAATAAAATATTGCTTAAGGGTGTCATTATGGCCTTCAATTATCTGCTAAATCTGAATGCAGATTATGCCTCGAAGATGAGAAAACAACTATGCTTTTTTTTTGAGAAAACTACGTTCTGAAGAAAGTTATTTCCTTAAAGACTTAAAGGGCTTTGTGTAATTAAAAGTGAATTTGGTAGGGCCCGTCTGGCCACAGTACCGATTGCTGGCAATTTCACGACAGTAGTTTTATTAATAAAAAAATTATTAAAAATAGTGAATAAAATTCATAAGAATAAAAAAAATTTAGTCATGAGTTTTTAAAAAAAATTATTAACTACTGCACTGTTTCCTATTTCAATTACTTTAAATGTTAATGTCAAATTTTCATTATTTAATTCAATCTCGCACATATCAAAACAACATTATTACGCACTTATAAGCAATGACCTAATACCAAAACATGGACTCCCTCGTACTTATGACCAAATTTTGATATTCGTCGAGCATTTTAAGACGAATTATGCCTATTAAGTTGCATTCACGTTTTCGGTTATTAATTGGTCCTTATAAGAGTAGCTGGATTTATTGTATATAAATATTTCTTCCTGCCTTCCCGTCTCCAACTTAAGAGCGGCAGTTGTGTTGTTGTTGTTGTTATTGTTTGGTTTTACGATATACGGAA